TACGAATAAAGTAGGTGGTGTAACCTGTGAGTGAAGAAGGTTTGATTTCAATGTCATTCGACGAGTAGAAAGTAGAGTGGCTTGTCCTTATTCGGTGGCGAATGACTGATTTAGAAGTACTCGGTTGCTATATGGTGCAACAAGTAACAATTTGAGTGTCTGCAAATAACTCTTTGAGTTGCAGTTCTTGCTTGTTGGCATATGACATAGAAGGAGAGATCTGAGAGGAAATGTCTAGAAAGTACAGTGAAGAAACCGGAAATGAAAACAGTGGAGCATGCCTTGCCAGGAAGAAGATGGAATAAAGTGAATTTGAACTGAAGCCAATCTCGTTGGAGGCTAGCATCAAATGATTAAGGGCACGGATAGAGCTTCCGACCCCCCTTAATTTCATTGACCCTCCACACGAGTTGAGGAAAAGGAGTTAAAAGAAGTACTCTGGCGAGCGCCCGATGTACAGAAATTGCTCTTGCTCGGCTAATAAGGGTCGACCGTGCAAAAGACTGCAGTTGGAACCCCCGCCAAGTGAATGAAAAGAAAAGAAAAAAAGTAAAATGAAAGTGAAAAAGGGGTTCCAATGGTGAAATGAAGTGAAAGAGCACCCCGGTACAACGAGTCCTTGGTTGTGAATGGTGTGAGTCCCTTTATCCATGAATTGACTGTCTTACTTCTACTTCTTCTCATGATCCTGGATTGAGTCTAGTACTCGCATTGAGAGAGATAGGGGACGTCTTAGAAGACCAGTTGACCTCGTAAGCTGCTTTATGATCTAGAAAATCCTCTACCGACGATCGGGGTTGTTTGTTGCTATAGAGGACTGGAGAGTTGCATTGGTTTGAGTTAGGTTTGCTTGGGGACAAGCAAACGGTTAAGTGTGGGGGAATTTGATTGACCATTGATTGCACATGTTTTTACCCTTATTCTTGAGCCGTTTGAGATGTTAATTCTCGTATTTTAAGCCGATTTCACGCTAGGTTGTGCGTTTATGTCATATTTCAGGACTTAGCGTTGGCATCGAGGCGAAGAAACGAGTTTCGGGTCGAAAGGAGCATGTTGGGTTTGAAGTGTGCTGGAGGAGCAAAATACCCGGCCATGAGCTGAAATACCCGGCCGGTATTATTTGGAGCAGACCGGGGAATTCATGTTTCGGGCGTCTGAGAAGCAGAAGGGGTTCCGAGTTTTAGAGAGAAAAAGCGATACCTAGAGAGAAATGACGAACCTAATTCTGCAAGTGCCCTTGATCGATCTCCATCACCATTGGAGCCCGGCTTGAGCTTGTAGAAGAGCTGATTGAGTGCCAGAAGCATATTCTCATCCTTCACATTATGGTTTCCGCATCTGAGCTAGATTTCCCATCTCTCTCTATGGAGTAACTTTCTTATTCACCTGGGTATGAAGAACCCTAGATTTGTATGTTAGGTCTGATTGTATGAACCCAAGTACAAATTCAGTGGTATGATTATGTTCAATTGAGGTTTGATTTGTTGAATGACATGAATCCTGATCAAATTCCTATTGTTTATGCTTTAACCTAGAAAGAGAATATCTTCCTAGGTTGATAGAGCACCCTTGATTGAAGGTAGTGAATTGGCGACTTTAGTCGAGTAGTCAATTCACTATTCTGTACCGAATTTACTTCGGTAGTGGAGGTTTGGTTCATTAGGGCATCAATCTGTTTACTCCGGTGGAGGTTAGTCGCCCACTGGAGACTCAGATTGAGAGGGTCTGGAGACCTTTAGTCGAGATTGCAGACTGTTTAAGAACCTCCCGCAGTATAATTATCATTGAAATTGAACTTGGTAAATTACAATCCGGCTTAACTGTAGTCTAAGGGGAACCATATCCGGGTGACCTCTCTCGACTTGAAAACAACCTTTTAACTGCTTTGCTTGTTTTCTTGTTTGGATCTTCACTAAAGTTTCACTGCTAAATAATAAGAACTCACGGAGTAGTCATCACACTTAGGACCCGGGTTGACATTAAAACCCAAACCCGCTATACTACGCTTTAGGAGGTGGTTACACTTGGTCATTTTCTAGAGTGACGGTAGAAGCGAGTCAGCAGCGTATTTGAGTCGATTTTGTGTTGTAACCGACATAATTGTTGTTGATTTGTGTTGATTTTATTTTGAACCGACGTAATTCCCCTCCTAATATTTAGTTTTGCCCCGCCCATTCCTCTCCTTGCCAGCTCAATTTCCTCCCAAAAAAAATTGAACCCCCACCCTAAAAATTTGAGAACAATTCCCACCTTCCTCACTCCTTCCCTCTCTTGCATAATAAAAAAATGAAACCTAGCAATTAATGGTCTCCTCCACTGCAACAAACTTCGACCCCTACCTCCACCACCACTAACTCCGGCCCATATCGCCACCTCCATAATTCTGACCCATGCCGTCTCCATCGCAACCAACTCTGATCCTTGCCGACACCGCCGCCTTTAATATCCAGTAACCGTAAAGCTTGTTGGGTTCTGTCTTCCCCTGGATAGAGAATTGTCGCTTGATCTACCTTCCCCCGTTTCTCTTATTTTTGAAGGATTTGCTGGGTTGTGTCTTCCCTTTCCTTAGACGAAGATAGTGAAGAACTTCCTACAGAATAATTATTGTCATTAGGTAGCCTCTTAGAGATGAATCCACTATGAGTTGGCGCGATGAGTTTGCTCAATAGAGGGATTCAGTCTGTTCTCCATGGCCTTTGTAATTGTCTTATGGTTGACATTGTTTAGGCAGTTAGGTCATAGCTGAGCAGAGGATTCTGGGTGATTGGTCTGGGTAATGAGAACTATGGTAGAGTCTAGCATTCCTTCTGTTAGATGAATGTTTCAAAGAAAGACGTGACCAAATTAGTTGTATTTCACCCTACAATAAACCATATATATATTTTGTAAAAGACAGCTTGAAAGCCATTAGGTCCAGGAGCAGAAAAGGGTTGCATTCAAAAAATTATTTTATGAATATCTGCAATAGAGAAAGGGCTAAGCAGTTTAAGGAGGTCTTCCTAATTGATTCTGGGGAAGCAATTCTTGGGCATTCGATCCGAGTAGGGAGAATTGTCTTGGGTGTAGAGGTTGGAGTAGAAAGAGATTGCTAGCTCTTCCAACTTCGTCGGATCCTGAACCCAATTTCTTGAATTGTCTTTAAGAGCTAGAATCTTGTATCGTCTTCTCCTTCTAGTTGATTGTTGATGAAATTATGTCGAGTTCAGCTCTACAAGGGTAACCCATTTTTCTTTGGCTCTCTGAAGCTAGATTACCTCTTCTTGAGCTAGAAGGGTGTCAAGTTCTGCTTCAATCTTAGCCTGCAATTTGAGAAGACATGGATTGAAATTGTTGACTATATTGGCTTGAATTTCTTGTAACTGAGCTAGTAGTCTCTTCTTTCTATGTTGGATGATACCAAAAGTCTCCTTGTTCTAATTCTGCAATTTGGTGTAATATCATTGAGTGCTTGTTGGAGGTTGAGATCCTCCTTCCAGGAACATGCACCTTCCAGGAACATGCAAAGAAATTTTGAAACTAAAGCAGTCAGGTTGTCTCAAATCAGAATGGTCTTTCCCCACCAAGCGTGGGCGCGATCCCTGCTCTGCAAGTCAATAAAGGGAGGTTATCCAAATGAAACTTGGACAAATGCTGAACAATCGTATGAGGTTAAGTAGTATTCCATTCCACATTTCAAAATGATCTGTTGATTCTGCTAGCATTGTTATTAAGCCTTGTACCCCCTCGGAACTAGGGAAAACAATCTAGTTAGCAAATTTTTAGCAACGCCTAAGGACAGGTAAAGAGATTGGTCATGTTTTCTCCGACGAGAAACAGTAGGCATTGAAGCGCCGGTGACTAGCCAGGGTATCTTGTTGTTGCAGCAGATGTGTATCAGATGATCCCATAAGCGTTGGTAAAAGTTATAATGGGGACTTCCATACACTCTGGTAAGCAGCTACTCTTCTTGTCCACAGCTTGACACTTTAACGCTAGTATGTTGTCTGCTAGCATCCAGAAGTCGAACATTGAAATCTTACGACTTCCATGCCAACCAAATTTCACCTTTTTGCCTCACCACCTCTCAGAAGTCCAAATTATCGGACTCTGTTGGCACGATCACCGCTAATCTGGGGTTCGAAAAGTTGGAGGAACTTCGGATTGTAGGTCTGAACCAACAATTTTATAGTCAGCCTGAAGTCTTTACTCCTTGCGCCACACATGTTCCAAGATAGAATTTAAAATTATTTTGTACATAGATAGGAAAAATAAAGGAAGGGAGATCAAAAAGCAAGAAAACAGAGTCTCTTCTCGGGTTTTCAGATGATGGCCAATGGCGGGGCGATCTGTTCCTCTTGAATGCCGGTGTTTATTTGTTTGTTGATGCTAGTGCTTGTGCCTCCGCCATATCCACATCTACAAGTTTCCCAAATATGATTTTTTTTTGGAACTCATGTGCCTTAGTCTGGGTGTGGGCTTAGAACTAACTCTTCTATTGCTTTGAGGGTGATTGGGAAGCCGTCGGTCTTTGAGTGTCCCAAGCGAGTCTTCCTTTTTGGCAGAATTGAGTCGGAGAGGTTTCTTGATAGCTCTAAGGTTGATTCCCTTGTTTTGGATTTGGTTAAGAGAGTTCTCAGAAATGTTCTTCAGTGACGGTTGGCGAGTGATTAAGCCATTTAAATTTGGGTCAAGATATGTTCATTACTTTAAAATACTAAATTCATCTTATGAAATAGTATCCATTAATAATGAAATGAAACAAAAAGAAGTTATCACGTATGGATCAATACAAAAATTAAATCTAGATGTTACCAATTATAAAAAGGGTTAATACCCTATTTTGGCCCGAAGTTTAGCGTAAGTGACAGTTATGGCCCCATTTTTTAAATAAGACATTTATGATCTACTTTTGAAATTATTGGACAGATTTGGCCCGACGTTTGGGTTGACCGTTAAACCTGACGGTCAAACATTTTAACCGTTAATGACTCAATAAAAATTGTTGATCTGGCTGGGCCACGTCATTAAATAATTATTTATTTACTTTTCTGAAAAAAATTGAAAACAAAATGAAACAAAGCAACAAATTCAAAACCATAAAGTAATTTCGGTCAAAATCCCTAAACTTCTTCTCTCTTGACTCTCATCAGCAACTATCACCCTCGCTGATAAAATCCCTAATCTTCTTTCCGATAGTATACTCACGGGCGATTGACGATTGAAGATGACAGATGCAGGGGCTACCGATGGGAAGATGAATATTGACGATAGCCCCACCACGCGCCCGTCATATAGATTCCAATCGGGGACCTCCGCCCTCACATTTATCCAGGTCCCGATCCGAATCTCGCTCTCTATGCTGCAGGTCCGCCGGACGGATCCGTGGCTTAGGGGACGGCCTCGTTCGCCGAAGGCTCCCGGTCCACCCTCGACGTAACGATCCGCACCCCGACCCTCTCCGAATCGCAGTACCGGTAGGTCGAATAGTCCCACAGCCGCGAACTTGGATACGAGGTCGGGTACCATGGATTAGTTGCCTCGAGAGAGTAGAGTGTCGACGATTTTGGACACGGTGGGGTCGTTTCTGTTGGGCTAAATTAGGCCGAGCGGCTGCAGCGGCGGTGGTCCGTTCGTTGACGGTGGTGGTGGGGAGAGCTCAGAAGAGTGGACCCGGAAGACGACCAATAGAGCGATGCAGTAGCTGATGATGAGGCAGATGGAGAGCGCTCCCAGATGGATTGTAAATTTGTAATCGTTGCCGACCGGCGACCGCGATGGAAGGTCGGAGGATGAAGAATTGTTTCGGGAAGGGGATTCTGGGTACGAAATAATTGTTATCTAAGAATTATTTGTTGAGTTTTTTATTTCAAGTTTTTTATAACTAAAACAGACTAAAAAAAAGATAAAATAAACCGACATGGAAGCCACATCATTGCCACTTCAGCGCTGGATGCTGAGTCATTAACGGAATAGATGTTTGACCGTTAATATTAACAGTCAATAAAAGTTTCGAGCCAAATTTGTCCAATAATTTCAAAAGTAGGCCATAAATGTCTTATTTGAAAAATGGGGCCAGAACTGTCATTTACGCTAAACTTCGGGCCAAACTAGGGTATTAACCCTTATAAAAATAACAGTCACGATCTGGAGATTTGAACCTATCCCGCCCTGAATGTGGTTCAGCGGCTCAATGACTCTGCAACACACTGAATTCGTCCAAGGATTCTGGCCTTATCATATGTGTTCAGTCAATCAGGCACGCTTTCGATCAATGTATTTACGGAGGTTGAATTGGCTGTTAAAGGAGACTCCCAATGCAAGAAAGAACAAATCAAAGTATGTATCCGAATTCGCAAACTCATATATGCACTACGCCATTACCCCCAGAAACACCAAAAACTCCATGAACGCAACAATGACAGTTAGACTGACCAATCTAACCTAATTTTTACCACTGAATTAACACTACTGGAAAGCAATCCAACCCTCTCTTCCCGCTCAGAGTCTACGAGAATCAACGTACGTTGGCTTGAATTGAAGATAGTGGTGCTCTTGTAACAGCGCGGAGGCTGCCTTACCGTGTCCAAGAGGCGCAGTACAACTCAACGACTCCACGTCGTGGTTCTCAATCTTCACAGACAAATCATCAAACACCTTGTACGCATCCCGATCCAAACACGATTTCTCTTCCCGCAAGGACTGTAGACCAATAAACTCGTCGTCAGGTCCATTAGGAGCGAACACGGCAGCGGCAGCGGCATGTGCTTGGTAATAGGAGAGCTGGCGAAGGACGAGGTCGAGCTCGGCCTCCATCGATTTGATCTGGTGCTGAAGCCCGAGGATGACGTGGTAGCAACCGCCGACGGGGTCGAGGGCACGGACGTTGGCCTGGTGGATGATGGTCTTCATCGCGAGGGAGCGGCGGCCGGGGCTGAGTTCCCTTGTGATCTTCAGCATGTTGCTGACCCCGAACAGTTTGTGGGCGTTGTGGAACTCCTTGTGGCGGCTGGGAGGGAAGTGCGGGGCGAGCGGGCAGTCCGGTGCGCATTTTCTGCGCTGGTATTTGCAAGCCGCGCACGCTGGGGATCCGCCCACGGAGGAGGATCTCTGTTGCGCCTTTTCCGGCGCCGCTTCCGTCGGCGGCGGCGGCGGCTGCTGGTTCATTTGCGTAGCGTTTTCGTCTCGGTTAGGCGGCGGATTGCGGGTTCTGAGAACTCGGTTTGAATTTCATGAGAAAATGGAGGAGAAAATCATGGGGGAATTTAAAGTGATGAAAGAGAGAGGAGTGGTGGGAGTCTTTTTCTCTTAACCGTTTTAGGGGAAACTGGTCGAGAAGAATCAGGAGACGTGATTTTATTGCACATAAAAGCAACTAAAATATTTTTTTTTAATTCAAATAGTATCTTCAGAAATTACCGATTTGTTTATCGTATAAATTTTTGTTTCCACACTTATTATTATTATTATTATTATTATTATTATGTTAATAGTAATATAAGTTTACTTTTCTGGTTGATACTATTTAAAAGTTGAACTTGAGACCTCATGGTTCAAAGTTATTATTTTTCTTCGCCACATATAATTTTGTAATTTACAATTTTCCTTCCGCTCTGAAACCCACAAGCAATTCTGATTAGCGGCCTTATTGTCAATACTCATGCATAACTTGTCACATCACCATTTATGGAAGGTTTTGCTAGTGGTATCTGCATTATGGAATGCTCGAGAGATCTCACTGTAGATAAAGGATGCGACGGACCAGCTTCTACACATTCGTTTCATCCTCGCTAATGGGCAAGAAGTATTCATTTTAGGGATGTATGGAGCACACAACCTCAGTCGCAAAAGGAAACTTTGAGAATATATTCAACGTTTGACAGCGGAGACAGATCTCCTGTGGTTACTCATTGGTGATTTTAATGTTATGCTCGGCCTGAACGATAAACAAGGTGGGGCTAGTTTCAATGTCGCCAACTGTTGGGAGTTTCACTCTTGTATAGAGGATTGCGGCCTCATGGATGTTCAGGTTTTGGGACCCTGGTTTACATGGAGTGGGCTCAGGCAGCTAAAGGAAGGCCTCGAGCTTGCTTTATGCAATACACTGTGGCTCATGTTGTTCCCAAACACGCTCACCTCCCACCTCCCTAAAGTCAAGTTGGATCATAAGTCGATCCTTGTAACCACAGATTTTTGCCACAAGCAATGTAGGGGAGGGAAACCTTTCGGTTTTCGGCGCCCATGCTACTTCACAGTGATTTCCCCTGAGTCATGCAAGATGGGTGGGCAAAGGGTTCTAACTTCTGATCAAGCCTAGAGCACCTTACAACAAACTTATCAAAATGGAACAAAAAGGTGTTCGGAAATACTTTTGCCCGCAAGAAACAACTTTTGCATCAGCTACAAGCTCTAGAAATGAAGATTTAACAAAACCCAACATCTAAGGGAATACGGGACGAGGAGGAGACACGAACAACCTTTCATGATGTCCTTAAACAGGAGGAAATCCTCTGGTTCCATAAGTCACGAGTGTAGTGGTTCATAGAAGGAGATCGAAACACGAGGTTCTTTCATCTCTCTACTCTGAAGCTTCAATGTTTTACCGCATTCAAAAGTTTAAAATTGGCGTTGGAGAATGGGTGGAGGATGACTATGAGCTACAGGTTCTGGTTTGAGCTTTCTATGTAGACCTTTACAAGGAAGGCCAGACGATAATAGATAGTTGGTCGATGCAGTTCCCTTAGCTCAACCCTAGTATGGACTGCCTCGACCTTGAGATTCAGGAATCAGAAGTTTTAGGCGCAATAAAAGGCATGTGACCCTACAAAGCTTATGGAAAGGATGGGTACTACCTGGTCTTCTTCCAACGTTGTTGGGATACGGTAGGTAACTTATTTTCTCAATTTATTGCTTAGTGTTTCAGGTCAGCAGAATCGATAGCCTCAATCAACGCGACTCTCCTTACACTCATTCCCAAAGTGCCCAACCCTACGTCTTTGGTAGAGTTCCGACCCATAGGCCTAGGTAATGTCTCTTACAAGGTACTTACCAAGCGCCTAGAGAATATGTTGAAGCCTCTAATAACAAAGCTTGTTCAACCTAATCAAATAGGTTTTATTTCGGGGCGCAACATACATAATAATATCATAATCTTACATGAGGTGATTCAAACCATGCAGACAAAGAAGGGTAAGGCAGGTCATATGGTCCTCAAAATCGATTTAGCTAAAGCTTATGATCGATTAGACTGGGGCTTTGTTGCGAGTACTTTGATAGGAGCTGGTTTGCCAGAGAAATTCTCATGCGATCATGTCCTGCATTGCAACTCCTACCTTTGAAGTGCTATGGAATGGATCTTGCATGGAGCAGTTCTAGCCAACGAGAGGCCTTCTCTAGGGATGCCCCTTATCCCCCTACATTTTACCCTATGCATTGAGTGTTTAACTCATTTGATCTAGGAAGCAGTCTCTCCGAAGAAGTGGAAACCAATCCAACTCGTAAGAGGGGGTGTGGAACTGACTCATCTTTTCTTTGCATGCAACTTGGTTCTCTTTGCAGAAGCGAGCATGGAGCAAGTGGAAGTGATTATGGATTGCCTTCAAAAATTTTGTCAAGCATCCAGGGAACTTGCGAGCAAGGAGAAGTCACGAGTTTTCTTTAACGAGAATTTAAAATGATTGTGCAAAGGAAATCAGTGGCAAGTTGGAGATTCTTATGACACAAGACTTGGGCTGTTACTTGGGGGTTCTAGTCTTGCATGGGCGTGTGACAAAGCAAACCTATCGTTACATCCTCGACATGACTAATCAACGACTTGTAGACTGAAAAGCGGACCACCTATCACTCGCAGGTCATGTTACACTGGCCTTGTCAGTTCTGAATACGATTCCTCCGTACGTAATGTAGACAATGGTCCTTCCCATGGGCATATGTGGCTACATCGATAGAAAGATCACGGGGTTCAACTGAGGCAGCCAACAGGGACATTGAAGGATTCATTTGCTCAACTAGGAAATGATATGCATGCCTAAAGACTAAGGAGGATTGGGACTCCGCAATGCTCGTGTACTTAATTCCACTTTATTAAAGATCTCCACTAAGATCTTGTAGTTGTCTTCATAGTCTCCGGCTTTGAGAATATCATTTTCCAATTCTACACCATGATCTTCCTTCGGAATGATGAATTCTTCGATGTCCACCCTTACTTCCTCTTGGTCAAAGTTAGAGTCTCCAAACGACTTCATTAAACTTTGAGAAGAAGATGTAGGGGTTTCATGAAGAGATTCTTCAATTCAAAAGGTTGGGCCTTCATGAATTGACATTGAGCATCATCGTCTTTCTGTTTGGATCTCCTCAATCTCGTAGTGTATGGAGCTTTGGTTTCTTGGATGACATTATGCTCTTTCTTTGATGAGGGGGAGATAGGTATTATCATGCTCTTTTCCTTTGTTGGACGCGCATGTTGGTATGATCTTCAACATTCTTGGAGGAAAAATTAGATTATTCGGGGGAGCAATCTAAATTTTATCCCCCCATCTTCTCGGTTAGAGTGACATTTCACCCCTTACCACAACTCATCCACTGATTCTCTGACTTTTGCATATTCATACCTCCACATAGTTTAACCCAAGCTTCAAGCCTATCACTAGGGAAGTGAAAACCAAGATTTGCTTTATCAGATATCAAACGAGAGCTCCAATTCTCTTGCAAATTCAGACCTTTTGGTAATTTCTTCACATGTACCTAAATTCTTGATGGTATCGAGCCAAAGCAACCTGCTCCTCTTGAACACTTCGATTGATCGCCATTGAAATGATTTATGTATTGATCAAAAGATCCCTTCTATTGTTTTTTTTCTATGTACATATAATAATACGAAAGGTCTTTTCATTATTCATTTTTATTTTTATTATTATGTGTGATATGAGACCAAAAAAAAGATAAAAGACATAATGACATGCGGAAGCACTAAATGCAAGAATATTTACTTTCACAAGCCTTTGCCTCAAAATTTGTCGGGTGAATTTCATCTCGATGATATCGAATCAGATCAATGTACAAATTAAGGAAGTTACCCCGTCGCCAACAATGCAAAGCTTCCAATCGCTCGAATATTCTGAACCATTAATGAACATTACAAAAAAACATAATTAAAACATTTATAGCTCTCATATATTCGTTCCCTTCTAGTTATAGATCCAATTAAAAAGGAATTGAAATTTATCAAAGAACTTTAACCTCCGAATAATTTTTTAAAAAAATAGTTTAAAGATGCCTTTAACAATTTGGATAATATATCCAAATTCATTCCTTCTTGATTGATTTAATTGAGAACGACAAAATTTTTGAGAATTCAAGAGAAGATCACGACATAATTAAGAGATTTATATGATAAAAGATTATATCTAAAGTGTTTTCTTTTTTTTTTTGCAAAATTCATTTGTGTAGTCAAAACTTTCACGTTTGTGACAATAATAGCCATTTTCGGCGAAATACCAAATATAGCCAGAATTTTGAAAGTTTCATGACAAATATAGCCATATCTCTTACATATTTTAACGACGTCAGTAACACCGTTAGTTAAATTAACCGAACGCTTACCTGGCTGCCAACTCACCGGACACATCATCGACAACTCAACAATACTTGCCATGTCATATTTTAATTTAAAAACAAATAAAGAATGTCAAATTATTTTTTTCATCCTCTCTCCTCGCCCACCACTCGCCGTTGTAGAACGCTTTCTTATCCTTCTCCTCCTCTCCTTCCACACTCTCCACCTTCCACCATCGACCCCAACCCCAAACCCATATCCTCTCCTCCAACTCCGACAGCGTTCCAGATCCAACCCACCACCGACCCTGCCGACAACGCTCGGACAACATACTGACCCTACGATCTCCCTCTGGCTCATGGCATCCGACAGCTAAACCCGTCCATGAAGATCCAAACCCAAAGTGGAGGGCAACCCGGGAAAAGGTAAAACCAGAGAGAGGAAATCAGCCGGAGCGGCGTGACCAAGGAACCGAGCAATGGCAGCAGGAGCGATCCGAAGAACAACAAGAGTGGAGGTAGCAGCAGTGGAAGTCCTCCCAAATCCACCCAGGTCCGAAATCTCCACTCGATTTTTTTTTTGCAAAGCTTCAAAACCGACAAGAATTGAAATTGCATATCTACGACCGGATAAGAGAGGGAGTTGCACAATGCGACGAACACGAAGAAGAGGGGGATGGGGGCGACAAGGAGATGCATCGGTCGATTGACCATGGCGACGACGACGGGTATTGAAATCTGGAGCGGGCGACGACGATTGG